GATGGGTTACAGAGTGTGAGAACAAGTATGAGCTAACGACACAGTCTAACTTTGAAAGCAGGCAGGATGCCAGAAATAAACTCTCACAGTTTCAGGTTGGTTAAGACTTATCAATGACTCAATCTTCTCTGGATATGATGATTGTCACTGACTCAAATCTTATTGACAAACAACAACAACAAATCAAAAACAACTAAATAAAACATTAAATAAAAACTTGAAAAAACAACTCTAAAATCATGCATGCATGATCAAAACTTTCAAACTAAAACTTAATTTAAAGTAAAATCTAACACAGGGTGATGCATTTGTTAGTTATAAAAAATAAAGAACCAGCAGAGGGTAGTCATGCACTTACTGTAATCTTACTGAAATTTAAAACTACTAAAACCTTAAACACAACTCAGAAATAACTCTGGTGACTGATCATTTTTATATGAAAATGAAATAGGTTTGTTAATTAACCTGGAAGAGAGCCAGTACATATATATATATATATATATATATATATATATGTATATATAATCTTGCTCTCCTTTTTTTTTTCAACTACTAGTGCTTAGCGTAGTTCTAGCTAACTTTTTTCTTAGTTCATATTTTAGATCTTATTACAGTTTTTCTTTTACATTTTATACTTTGGTTGGATGTAACTGGGACCCTGTGTACACAATTTTGTTCCACCACATGTACCACTTGTGGTGCAAATGACAAATAAAGAACCTTGAATCCCTGGTTTGGAGCATTTAGAAGTGAGAGAAAAAAGTGTGAAGTAGGAAGGATATGATTTCAAAGAAACTTTGGTTCCTGTCAATAAATCTGGGGCAATCTGGTAAGGGGATTAACAAATAATTTACAGTGTGAGAAAAACTATTCATAAGTGAAAAACTTTTAACACAAGTTCATGCAGGGACAGACCCAAAGCCTTTAAATTCTGCAAAGAAGTTTAGGACAGTATGCTTACAGATAAAGGGCCAGAATAAATCAAAGTGAAAATATTTTGCCATAGATCAATGCGTTCATGGTTTGCCCAAACGATAATGGGATTCACTGTTAAAATAGTTATTGGTTGTCCAACAGTCTTGCAGTTCCAGCTCCAACATTCTAGTTCCTTTAAATGGTAAATGGACTGCACTTATATACTATATATATACTTTCTATCTAATCAGGATACTCACAGCACTTTATTCTACAATCTGTGTCCTCATTTACCCATTCATACAGCACTCTGCTAGATCTATACAATGAATAATCAGAGCTTTATCACATCCATACACTGATGGGACACAAATCAGAGACAATGAGGCATTCAGTGTCTTGCCCAGTGACACTTCAGCATGTGACTGCTGGTGGAATCATACCCCCAGCGCTTGCCTTGGAGGATGACTGCTCTAAACAGCCGCCCCTTTAACTCCAGAGGTTTAATTTACTGCATAAAATTCTGCTTGTCTATCATGGTGAGTTCCAAGCAGGAAAAAAGTTGTCAGCTGGATCATCTTTCATGAATAGTCAAATGTTGTGTGTCTTATTTTCCATCCATCCATCCATTTTCTTTACCCGCTTATTCCATTTTGGGTCACGGGGGTCGCTGGTGCCCATGTCCAGCAATCACTGTGCGAGGGGGGGGGTACACCCTGGACGGGTCGCAAGTCCATCACAGGGCCACATAGAGACAAACGAGACAAACAACCATTCACTCTCTCACTCACACCTAGGGACAATTTAGAGTTACCAATCAGCCTAACATGCATGTTTTTGGTTTGTGGGAGGAAACCGGAGTACCCGGAGAAAACCCACGCATGCACGGAGAGAACATGCAAACTCCACCCAGAAAGGCCCCTGGACCGCGGTTTGAACCAGGGACCTGCTCGCTGAGAGGCAGCAGCTTTACCAGTTGCGCCACCGTGCTGCCGTGTCTTATTTTATGAAATGATATTTTAAGTAAAAACTTTTCTGTTCCTACTGCAACATTTATACCCACTTTTTCATTATAGTTCAATTAGGTCTTTCTTTTGAATCCTAGCGGAACATTTTGCCAAATTATCTGTTCAATACAAACAACAGCCAACAGTAAATTTTGAATAACCCTTTATATAAATCCCAAACCACACTTTAATGCTACTTTAACTGTGCGTTTAATACTTTATCCGTGCTGCTGATTTCTTACCCACAAACTGCTGTATTCATACCCATCTGCTAACAACAGACTCATGTTCAGGCTGCTGTTTAATACACCTGTATTATTATTGTTTAGCATATATCTTAGATCCTTCTATGTTGCTTTTTTTATATACTTATTGCTATTTTGGGGTGTAAGTGGGACCTTGAGTACACAATTTCATTTCACCTCATGCACCACATGTGATACAAATGAAAATAGTATCCTTGAAACTCATTATAGTTTGGTTATTGCCCATAATTAAAACATTTTTTTGTAACATGACACTGATTAAGTAGTGTAGACTCTAGAAATGGGCAGCACGGTGGTGCAACTGGTAGAGGTGCTGCCTCTCAGCGAGCAGGTCCTTGGTTCAAACCCTGGTCCAGGGGCCACTATTCTTCAGGAAAATACAACCATAAGATCTAGACTACAGTAAGACCAGTTTACAGCAAAAATTATTGCTCATGTTATTACATGAAATAGGCCTAAACTTTGTTTTTCAGGGTGTGTGAGAGTTTGCACTCAGAAACAAAGAAATATTGTAAATAATAATAATAATAAAAAATATTATTCTAAAGTTGTTGATTTTTTCCATAAAGGTTGTCAAGAATATAAATTCAAAGGCAACATGTTTACTCAGCTGAAGGAATATTGTCATATTTTGACCAAGTGTATACAACGCTGTAAATCTGTTCACAGTAACAGAAATAACATATTGCAGTCCCTGCCTCACACTCTAGGGGGTAGAATAAACTCTGTAAAAGTGAATTTCCTCCATAAATTTCTATATTTGTTTCAGAATCTGCCAATTTTCTTTATTAAATCATTCTTCACCAATCTGAACAGCTAGATATCAGAGTTTATTTGTAATAAAAAGCAGCCACAGATTGCCAAGAGGGTCTTACATCTCCCACAGGTTTGGAGGCATGTCACTTCCTAATTTCATGCGCTTTTACTGGGCAGCTAATATCGTCCATCCATCCATCCATCCATCCATCCATCCATCCATTATCTTTACCCGCTATTTCCATTTTGGGTCACGGGGGTCGCCGGTGCCCATGTCCAGCAATCACTGTGCGAGGGGCGGGGTACACCCTGGACTGATCGCTAGTCCATCACAGGGACACATAGAGACAAACAACCATTCACTCTCTCACTCACACCTATGGACTATTTAGAGTTACTAATCAGCCTAACATGTTTTTAGTCTGTGGGAGGAAACTGGAGTACCTGGAGAAAACCATGTACAAACCGGATTCCAAAAAAGTTGGGGCACTAAACAAACTGTGAATAAAAACCGAATGCAATGATGTGGAGGTGCCAACATCTAATATTTTATTCAGAATAGAACACAAATCACAGATCAAAAGTTTAAACTGAGAGAATGTATCAGTTTAATGGAAAAATCTGTTGTTTCCAAATTTCATGGCGTCAACAAATCCCTAAAAAGTTGGGACAAGTCCATTTTTACCACTGTGTGGCATCCCCCCTTCTTCTTACAACACTCAACAGACGTCTGGGGACAGAGGAGACCAGTTTCTCAAGTTTAGAAATAGGAATGCTCTCCCATTCATGTCTAATACAGGTCTCTAACTGTTCAATCGTCTTGGGCCTTCTTTGTCGCACCTTCCTCTTTATGATGCGCCAAATGTTCTCTATAGGTGAAATATCTGGACTGCAGGCTGGCCATTTCAGTACCTGGATCCTTCTCCTACGTAACCATGATGTTGTGATTGCTGCAGAATGTGGTCTGGCATTATCGTGTTGAAAAATGCAGGGTCTTCCCTGAAAGAGATGACGTCTAGATGGGAGCATATGTTGTTCTAGAACCTGAACAGAGTTCTCTGCATTAATGGTGCCTTTCCAGACATGCAAGCTGCCCATGCCACAAGCGCTCATGCAACCCCATACCATCAGTGATGCAGGCTTCTGAACGGAGCGTTGATAACAACTTGGGCTATCCTTGTCCTCTCTGGTCCGGATGACATGGCGTCCCAGTGTTCCATAAAGAACTTCAAATCTTGACTCATCTGACCACAGAACAATCTTCCATTTTGCCACACTCCATTTTAAATGACCCCTGGCCCAGTGCAAACGTCTGAGCTTGTGGAGCTTGCTTAGAAATGGCTTCCTCTTTGCACTGTAGAGTTTCAGCTGGCAACGGCGGATGGCACGGTGGATTGTGTTCATTGACAATGCTTTCTGGAAGTATTCCTGAGCCCATTCTGTTATTTCCTTGACAGTGGCATTCCTGTTTGAGGTGCAGTGACGTTTAAGGGCCCAGAGATCATGAGCATCCAGTGGAGTTTTACGGCCTTGACCCTTATGCACAGCGATTGTTCCAGATTCTCTGAATCTTTTGATGATGTTATGCACGGTTGATGATGATAACTTAAAAGTCTTTGCTATTTTATGCTGGGTAACACCATTCTGGTATTCTAAAAAAGTTAAATCTGGTCCTCTAGACATTCAAAAAAAAAAAAAAAAACAAAGCAAACAACAAAAAATGCTTTGCTTTGTTTTGGTTTTTTTTGAATGTCCAGAGGACCAGATTTAACTTTTTTAGATTTTTCTACCTGGATTATTGAGCATGCATCAGGACATTCTGGTATTGCTGCACTATCTTTCTGCGCAACAATGGTGGAATTGGTGATCCTCTTACCATCTTGGCTTCTGAGAGACACTGACACTCTGAGAAGCTCTTTTTATACCCAATCATGCTGTTAATTGACCTAATTAGTGTTAAATGGTCTTCCAGCTGTTCGTTATATGCTTAATTTCCTTTTTCCAGCCACTTATTGCTACTTGTCCCAACTTTTTTGGGATTTGTTGACACTGTGAAATTTTGAATCAACATATTTTTCCTTTAAAATGTTACATTTACTCAGATTAAACTTTTGATCTGTCATCTATGTTATATTACGAATAAAATATTGATATTTGCCATCTCCACATCATTGCATTCAGTTTTTATTCACAATTTGTTTAGTGTCCCAACTTTTTTGGAATCCGGTTTGTATGCACGGAGAGAACTTTCCAACCAGAAAGGCCTCCAAATTGGGATTTGAACCAGCAACCTGCTCCTTGAGAGGCAGCAGCTCTACAAGTTGCGCCACCGTGCTTCCCCATTTTAATAGTCATTTTATGAAATCAATTTCCTATCTCTTTGGTAGATAGGAAAACCAAAGAGTGAATGCTGACTCAGCATTCACACGATTACCAAAAATGCAACAAATGTTAGCTTCAGGTTGTCTTACAAGAAAAACTAGTTTAGGCCTGCCTACAGGGTACTTCTACAGGTATACAAAGGAAAATTTGTCTTTTTATTATTCATACAAACAAAAAGTATTTTCACTTAAAAAATCATGATCAAAACTTTTAAAATTACAACAAAATAATGTTTTTTTGAAAGTAAAGCTTTGTTTACAAACCCACTTTTTACATTCATATATCAGTTATTTTTTTCTTACGAAGTAATGAAAGTTGTTTGAAAAAGAGAAACTTTCATTTGCACATTTTCTTGGTTACAAATGTCAGTTTTGTTTTCGACACTCCCTGTTTTAGGTTTTTGGTTTGCAAATAACTTGTTTTTTTTTGTTAATGTGTAAATGCTGATCAGCATGGTGTTCCTACATACGCTTCTTATCTTGTTTTTTTTTTTTTTGCAAGTATACCAAACATTTAATTCAATGGAGAATAATGTAAAATAACTTTGTTTTTCTAACTTCTATACTTTTGATCACATGGTATTTTTTTTTAAGTGAAATGACTTTGTTTGATTAAATAATAAAAAAAACTGATGTCCCTCCATACAGATGTATTATTTGATAGGTGCAACCAATTAACTGGGTCCATCAACCATTTTAAATTACGACAGAGCTTTAGGGCCACGCAAAAAAAAACAAGTTACATTGCCACGCTAAGACTTTTTTTTAAAGCAATAAATTTATGAGAATAAAGTCATAGCATTACGAGAATAAAATAAAATAAAGTCTTATTATTACAAGAATAAAGTTGTACGAGACTTTTTGTTACAGCTGTCGTTAATTTTTTTTCCCCCAAGAGTCGGATCCACGATGCGACCTGTCAATCAATCCAGTAGGCGTGTCAGCAAATGACCAATCCCAAACTAAATGATTCGTAATATTATCCGAACTCCGACACGACAAAGCAGGGTTTACCGCATTTTAACTGTGGTAAAATGAAGAATGTTTATTAAACTTTTTTGTTATTGACGCTCTTACTCAAAGCGTGTTCCAAAACTTCCACCTACTGCTGGGTTTTTGTATGCTGCTTCTGGGATGTATATATGTGACGACATTATATCATGACTTTTGTTTTTGTTTCCGTTTGAAAACGGCGCTCAGTGAGCGAAACTGTGCGTGCAGAACTCTTAGAGGTCTTCAATAAATATGCCAGAAATAAGCTGAAGAGACTCAGCAACTCACTTATTTCTGTCATTCTGCAACACCAACACCTCTGCTCTACAATCCATTTAACAATATTGAGCATCTTGTTAAGTTATACTTTGGTATTGGTTTTACAAATAAGGAGATAGTTAATCTTTTAGCACATCAGCATCAGCTTATTACCAGTATCAGGACTTTGAACCATCCATCCATCCATAATCTTTTACCCACTTCTTCCATTTTGGGTCACGGGGTCGCCATTGCCCATGTCCAACAATCACTGTGCGAAGGGTGGGGTACACCCTGGACTGATCGCAAGTCCATCACAGGGCCTACTTTGAACCTGCTTACAGTAAGATGGTATGCTCTAGGGCTGCAGTGCAGCTCTGCAGGTAAGGAGCATTTAGCTTTGAATTGGTCATTTGCTGACACGCCTACTGGATTGATTGACAGGTCGCATCTTGGATCCGACTTGTGGGAAAAAATAAAAAATAAATAAACGACAGCTGTAAAAAAAAAAAAAGTCTCATGCAACGTTATTCTCGTAATTTTTTGTCTTGTAAGTTTTTCTTCTTAGCGTGACCCTAAAGCTCCCTTGTATTTAATAAACCAAAATTGCCCACTTGAACAAATAACTTCTCACTTCTAACACTTTATGCCTACAACTTCAGTTCCCATGATGCTTTGTGTTTTTGAAGCACAATCTCAGCATAATAGACTACTTCTGCACTCCAGCACTGGGGTGTGTGGACAACACAGGCACGTTTCAGTTCACACAGGAGAATTTTGAATCATTCATGAAAGAAAAGTGGATCGAAAGCGAGACGAGCTGAGGGGAGGAGTCTCCATCTTTCACATCCATTCAGCCAAACCTGCAGCAACATTGTTGAACTAGAGAAGGGGAGGCGCAGTTTTGTCCTACTCGGCCTCTCATACATAACGGAGGCGCTCGCCCCGCTTTATCTGGAAAGGCAGCTTGTGTGCCTCACGATTCACAGAGGAGTGCTGCTGAGGAGGAGTGGTCAGGGGATCATTAAGCACTTTTTTCCCCCTTTTTTAAAGAAACGACGTCTCCTTTAAACCTCTGCAGCGACGTCGCAGGACTCCAGGCTCTGAAGTTGTGTCGAGCCCGGGCGATGGTTTCCATCTGATCGCTGCTCGGTCAGCTGGACCGACCGAAGACTGCGCGCTCGTCACCGCTGCTCTGTGGCCACCGACACGTTGATTCCTGCCGGAGGACCGATTGCACAATCCGTGGCTGGCCCCCAAACATGTCATCTCAGGCCAAAGTCAAGAAGGACAAAGAGATTATTGCCGACTATGAGACCCAAGTGAAAGGTTGGTTGCGTGCAGGCCTTGCTGTATTGTTACTGCGGGGAATACACCCTTGCATAACTTTACAACAATTGCTTTCTGTGGCTCTGCTTAGGTGCAGTGTGGTGGGGTGGGTCAGTTGCATGTGCTTCTGTCTTTTTCTTTTCTATTCGTTTAAAAAAAATATCCAAGAATTGCCCATCATTGCAACTAAAATGCATGTTCATTGAGTTGAATAGATGAATCTAATGAGAACATTTTAACAGCAACTTGGCTCAGGCAGCCTCTGCACTGCAGAGGACCGTGCACAACAACATGCCTAGCCTTGCACACAAGCAGCTGGGGCTTTATAATTTGCTTCAAAGTGCATCTTTGGGCTTTTTCTTTCTCTCTCTCTCTTTTTTTTTTTTTTTAAATTCTCCAGCAATAAATAAGCACTTCAACACATTAAGGCTTTTTTTAAAGTACAACTTTGCACGACCTGTTAGGCAGGACATAAACTATTTCTTCTTCTAGTGATCATCTGTGTCAGTTTAGTAATTTTCCTGTCTCTCCAGGACAAAGTGTGATATAAGAGGGAATGCTTGAGAAGGTCACACGAGCAACAGTTCAGAAAGTCCTTGAATAATGTATGCCGTCTGCATGAATTATGAACCATGAAAGGGTTTTACTGTCTGACACTAAATATGTGACTGGATGAACCACCCATGGAGAGAGGAGAGCCAGGAGCAGACAGTGCAGGATGAATGCCTGTGCTGCCAGTCTTGTCTGGGCAGCTTCGTGCGTCTGCACCTTCATGCATCACCTCTGCATGTTGTGGTTTTATCTTGCTAAAAGTGACTGCTTCAGAATCAGATGAATACGATTTAACTGCTCAGCTTTGCAGCTTTCATAAAAGGCCTAGCTTAACTTTAAAGAAATGCATATGTTTGCTGAGAAGGTTCTAGCTTTTTTGCTCAAACCTTGTACTTGTATGTGTTGAGGATGACTCAACTGCAGAAGAGCTACTACCACTCCGAGTTTTAGCTCAATATTTGTAAAACTGATGGATGTATTGCCATTTGTGTGTTCGCTGAGATCAATTACCTGTGGCAGCCATCTTTAATTGGGTTGACTCCAGTATGTTGAGTTTTATGTGAACAGCCACTGATTTCATAAAGATCCATCCAGTGGTTTATGAAATATTTTACTATTTTACTAACAGTCAAGTTTGATGCACAAATATTCAATGTGTCGCGCTCAAGGTATGTGTTGAGTGTAATGCTCAGCCGCTTCCACACCAACGTTTAGCTTGGTGTCTTTAAAATGGTCTGAGCTTTAGCTGTTTTTGTGCTGTCTAAGGTCAGTTGGCTGTGGTGGCCATCTTGAATCGGTTGATTCCAAAACTTAATCAGCTTACTTCATAAAAGTTTTATTAAAATCTATTCAGCTGTTCCTGTTATTTTACTATTGATGCAAACTCACACAGGTGATAATGAACATCAGAGTTAACCTTTAATGGATTACAGCTCCAACAGCTGATAGCTGTTGGAGGAAGAATCAGTTTTGTTGTGTGTTTCCTTGACTGATGAAGCCTTCCGGATCGAAGGCGAAATGTTTCAGCATTAAAAAAAGAAACTGTCCAGATGACCTGACTGAAAAATGTTGGATTGTATACCTGGATTATTGAGCATGGACTTTGTTGTTCTTTAATGGATTAGTTTTACTTTTTTTCAGAGCGTTCACAGTTTTTCAGCATTCAGCATTAACATTTAGTTCAGCAATTTAAATTACAAAAAGAGTTTGTAGTTTCACAAACATTTACAACATTTAACTTTATAAATAAATATAGTTGTATCTTTAGTTTAGTCTTTTTTATGCAATTTATACGCTTAATTGTGACTGAAGTCAACTGAAAAACATGCACGGCTTTTGCCCTCCATGACATTTAGATTAGCATTCTCATTGCTAAAGGCCTGAAAAACAAGTTTCATTAGTGACCCGTTGTAAATTTCCCAACCACCCTTTTTTACTTTGTAAGTTTAAGACTTTCATAAACAAGAAACAAATGCCTAAATGACAAAGCACACTGCTCACTAAATATTATATCTATTAACAAGAACATTTTAAAACTGTGCCTATTTTAAGCTAACTTTTACGCTAAGCTACTTGGTGACAGCATGCGCGTTAACCAACTTGTATTTTTTACATGGTTAAGTCTCCAGTCTATTTCAGGACTAAAACTAATAAATAAAATAAGACTCAAATGGTCAATATTATCATAATGTGCCCCCCCCCCCCCTCTCCCAATTATTCTGGCCTCCAGATCTAATGTTAAAAATCTTGGTGTTATTTTTGATCAGGACATGTCTTTTATCCCCCACTTTAAAAACTACAACCGCCTTCTTCCACCTGCGTAATATCACTAAAATTAGAAACATCTTATTGAAAAATGATGCAGAAAAACTGGTTCATGTATTTGTCACATCTAGACTGGACTATTTCAGTGGTTTGTTATCTGGGTGTCCAAAAAGTTTTTAAAAAGTCTTTAGTTGATCCAAAATGCTGCTGCCAGAGTCTTAACTGGAGTTATAGGAGAGATCATATCTCTCCAGTTTTAGTTTCTCTCTTGGCTTCCTGTCAAATCCAGAACTGAATTCAAAATCTTACTTGTAACCTACAAAGCCCACAACAACCTAGCTGCATCTTATATTACACATCTTATTGTTCCATATTTTCCCAACAGAGCACTTCAATCTCAGACTGCAGGCTTACTTGTGGTTCCTAGAGTTTCCTAAAGCAGAATGGAAGGAAGATATTTCAATTATCAGGCTCCTCTCTTGTGGAACCAACTTCCAGTTTCTGTCCGTGAGGCTGACGCATGGTCCAGTTTTAAGACTGGGATTAAGACTTTCCTTTTTGGTAAATCCTATAGTTAGACTAGTGGAGGATAAAATTACCTCATTTCTTAAATGAATTGCTACAATTGAAAAGTTTGCATTTGACACTATTTCTCTCAACATGTGATTCTCGACCTGCCATTGTGTATTTATTCCTCTCACACCCAGCCGGTCGAAGCAGATGGCCACTTGTCCTGAGCCTGGTTCTGCTAAAAGTTTCTTCCTCATGAAGGAGTTTTTTCTTTCCACTGTCGTCGTCATGCTTGCTCAAGATGAGAGTTCTGTGATGGAGTTAAATTCAAAGCAGTCTGCTCCTCAGATAAATAATGTTAAATTATTATTTTTATATATGAATGTTCTGTTCAGTGCCCTGAGACGACTTCTGTTGTGACTTGGTGCTACATAAATAAACTGAATTGAATAACGGATAAGCAGTAGCCATTTTTGTAGTTTATTTGAAACCTTATTAGAGGGATTCAGCTAACTCCTGCCAAATAATGCCTTTTTTTTAAATAAACGATTGTTTATACATTTGAAAAATCAAATAGCTGATAGATATTTGAAATTAGTCTGTATTTTATTTCTAAATAATTAACAAATTCCTTAATGCAAACATTAGGTTACAGTAATCAGGTGTTTTGCTATAAATATGTTAAAAGTTAACTAAGACCCCACACTTCCTGTACATAAACGGACTTTAAATGACAAAAGTTGTTAAACTGTGCCTGGAATGAAAGGTATAAGTAGTATTTTGTAGTCAGAGGAGTGGCTGGAGGTCTTCTGTCTCTGGTTGTTTGACTCGTTCACTCAGTGTGGTCCACATCGGGCTCTGCGGCTCGGAGTGAGCCATCACAGCTCTAGCTCCCGTCTCAATTTCAGGAAAAGCTTTTAAGCTGACATGTTAAGCTCATTTGCTAACGATGGGCACAGATTGCTCTGGTGCTATGAGGACTTTAGGCACTGGCCTCCGATGGAGCTCAGTTGCTGATGCAGCTTATCAATCAAACTCAAATCTTGTGGCTTCACCACTTCCTGTCCTTAATGTTTCCTTCTCAGCAAAAGTTGGGTTCTTCGCTTTGTTTGCTGCTGTGTGTCCATTGATCCGTCTCTGACTTTTATTCAAATGTATTTTGTTGGTGACCAGGTTCGTGTGTCTTTGAGTTGCAATTTATTTTCTAGCCAAACTAACATTTTTCTTATCAAGTGTGGAATTAACAGCTAGATGCATCTCTGAGGAAAAACAACAAAGTCAATAAATCCTGTACTTTTCGAGGTGATCCGTGTTTCTCTTTAATGCAGTTCCATGCTTGGAGAGATTTGGAGCTGTAAAAATGGATGAAACAGAAGACTTTGTTTTCTGTCTGTTTAAAATGTGAACATGCAACACTCTGTATTGTTTGTGTAATTGATGAAAAAATCTCATTTTTATTTAAATACATATTAAACAACTGCAGTGGAATCGTGCATTTCACGAGGATCGTGCAGACCCACCCTTTTGTAGGAATTCATCATCAAAACCCCCTCTTTGATAGACGCTGCTTTAAAATGTCAGAGTCGAATTACAGCAGTAGCGCAGTATGTTTGCTGTGTGTCTTGGTGACACGTATGAGCCTCTCTATTTGTTGCTTCGACAGATGTGTGGCCACATCTGGGCGTTATCTCATTTGAAGAGAAAACGGTTCCGAGCTGCGCCTCTAAATATTGGCTCTTGCTGTGTGATTGAACAAAGAGCAATGCTTTTTGTTGTTCGAAACATTTCTCAGGCGTGAGCGAGAACATGATGTGGACTCAACCAAACGGGCTATAAAAGCATACCACAGTCATTACTCCATGCAGAAGACGAGCACTCGCAGAATACAGCCCTAACCAAATTATGTCATGAGACTACACACAGTATCAATCACAGCTACTGCCCGTTCCAATAGCTGAGCTAGACTACTTTGATCATGTTAATGTGGTCATAGTGGCTCCTGGCTGTGTGATATTTGATACTCTACTGCAGTAAAATCACGAGAGCTAGAATGGAACAATGACCAATATTTTCCCTGCGTTCATTTCACTCTATGTGAGGGTATACCGGCCACAAACGGGCCACAGCCTGGTGTCTTTGACGCTACAGAATATAACATGTCAGTAAAGCTCGGA